TCATAACAAACAGCCGGCATCGTGACTTGGTGTACCTCCTTGGCGAATAGCCCGGCATCATTTTAGCAGGCATTCCCAGCGATCTGTGGTGTTGCAAAGAGAAAACCAAGAGAAAAGAAAAAGAATAGAGGGGAGTTCCGACATTCCACTTCAACAACACTAGCTGGTCAAAGAAGAATGTGGAGTTTACAGGTGTTCCATCGATAGTGACTCTACTTTCTAGTGCCTGTTATGGAGAATTTCAATTTTAGACTGCAACAATTGCACGTGTTTGCATACAGGGCGGATCAAGAACCGCCTTTCCGCTTCTATGGGACGCCACCACCGCATGATCAGACGATAGATGTGGCTCATATGTTTCGTTTTGAGCAGGGAGTTGTAAAATACCGGTATTTTACGACTCCCCGGTTTTGAGTGCCCAACCACTGCTTTGTGGCGTCACCGCTTTTCCACTTCATACAACACTTTTCAAATGATGACGTAATCGCACAACCTCTATTGAATACACTTGTGGCTGGGAAAATTCACGGTTCTCGTGAAACTTGGCTAGAGACCGAGCTTTCTGTATCCGTGGGAACGTCACCACCCTTCACGGATCAAGGCGCAGATGCAGCTCCTAAAGGAGTGGGAGGTGAGTACCGTATTTCCCCGGATATAAGTCGCACCCGTTTTTACAGTTTTAAAACTCTTCAGGGCCAACAAAGGGGGTGCGACCTATAATCGAGCATGATCACTACTGAAGTGAATATATCAAAACGATAATGACACATGGACCTGGAAATGGGGATGCGACTTACAATCGAGTGCGACCTAAAATCGGGGAAATACGGTAGATCATTCACTGCATCCATGCACGAGGCCATGAGTACATCCCCCCCCCCCCCCTCTCCAGAGTGTGCAACTCCGACACACCCTGCTATCCCGGTGTTCAAGTTGACATCATTTTTATGATGCAATCATCTTCGAACGAGTGGTTTACGATCTTTTGTACGGGGTGTCAACACACCGGTGCTTCCTTGTACCTATACAAAATCAAACCGGAGTTTGTCCGCTACAGGTCCAGGATACGTCTCATGATACGCGTACAATAAGCATTGTGTCATAAAAAATGATGTCAACTTGATATTGTATCCGGACATCACCTATACTAGTGGAATTGCACCCTCTTGTGGGATTATGTACTCTTGATGTGGCTGAAAGTGAGCATGCAATCCGAAATGATTATAATTATTAGGCCACCCAGAATTAATTCGTTGTTTTTTTCACCCGACCGCAATTTTTTTATTTTTTTAGTGCATGCATATGAGCATGACTAGACTATGTACACACGTACACGCGACCCAAAATATTTTATAATAACAATTAGCAGTCCAGACATCGACCTCAGAAGCAGCCAATTGACAGGATGCAGCACTTGGTGACGACGTTGTCTTCTATCTCCGATTCGCAATCGGTCCTGAAACAGCATCACTCCATCAGCTCCGCCACTGCGTCGCTCATTGACAGACGTTTTCAAGGACTTCGGTGAGAGCTGCTCGTCAGACTCATTTGCCAGCGAGGCCAAGATCTGGTCCTCGAGGGGACCTGGATCTGATGGGACAATGGCTACGCTGGATCGACTACAGTCAGATTTGATCGACGAGCTTGACGGAGAAAAGCTATTCGATATGCACATTTGTACATGTATGCACATGCCCGCAACTAAAATAAAAAATAAAATAAAAAAATAAACCCGACCGACCGACCCTGGTACGGATGAGTGAAGTGACCCGAAATAACGAATTAATTCTAGGTGGCCTTATCTGAGTGCATTTTTGTGCTTAGCATTTCATTTTGAGAACTTGATAGTTTGCAAGTGTTGTATAGACAGGTGATGTGCTCGTATCCATGCTCTAAACAAACCCGATCATACAGAATCTGATGAATACTACAGAGGTGACAAGTCTGCACTGATCATCAGCTCTCAGCGGCTTCCATTATTCATTTCAACGGCCGTACGTTACATCTACAATGTACTTCATGTTTGTGGCAATTTAAAAAAAACTTCGTAGTCGAATTACTCGGTATAACTAGTGCCTAGTGTGAAACTGTGTGTAACCGGTTCATTTCAATGAATCTTCAAGATGAATCATTATTCATTTCTTTCTTGCCACAAAGGTTTGGCTGTGCTAGGCAGGGTTTATATTGCTCGGCCTGTCTCCTGATCAGTGCTGCCAGAGCCAGTTTATCAACGGGGTGGAGTGTTGAGGAGTATTGTTGGCTGTGCTGCCATCACATACCCAACAGTGCTGGCTACAAATTATTGACGGCATGTGCATAACAATCAGGCTTCCTCCGCAATAGGCGTTGGTTAGAAAAGAATATGAATTGAATTTCACAAATGGATCATTATTTTGTGTACATTTCAAGCCCCGAAGTACAATCAATCATGTCATGTCAGTGTTCATGTCCGTGGATTTTCGGATATTCATTCATTGCCGGCCATTAGTCTGGAACAACTCAGGAACTGTGGTGAGTGCGCTTTTCAAGTAAACTGAAAAAATCTTGCCTAAGCAGATTGTATCCGTGACGCATTGATTCAGTAATGACTGATGCTTCATCGTTCAGTAGGAGTGAGGTTGGCTTACCGTTTTCCTCAGAGGCAATGCCGATTCACCAATTTTATAGTGGTACAGTGCTGGATGACAAGAAGCTTGTTCATCAGTTACCGTCAGTGCTCGCTGAGCCAAGCTCATGTTCTCTCAGGACTTCAGCTGGGTAGCAACTCCTGTCAGGCACAGGTAGATCTACTACTACTAGGTCTACTAGGTAGCGGCGCGGGACTCTTGTTCTCGGACTCAGCGCTAGGTCACACTAGTGCTCCTGCGACAGGACGGTAGACCCTATCGAAGTGGTTTGGTAGACCTACGCTTTCTGGAAACCTACTACACGTAATTATACGTAGAATCTACCTACCTGGAGCAGACTGACAAAACACTGAGCTCCATTCTCTGCCACGACTGGCACGAGGCATACCACATGTAATATTGATACTAACCTAAAAATACGTGATAGTAGTGATAGATCTTACAGACTCAGGCTTTGTCTTGACTTCAGTCTGTCTAGTATAGGACTGAGTAGGAAACGAGTTACACGGCGCTGGGATGGGTCCGGGTCAAAAGTTCAAAATGCGAGATGAGATCGAACGTGTATAGCAGCGATGACAAGAAGAACTCTCGTTACTGCGAACTGTTTGAAATGCCACTGGTCCCTTGGCGTTCGTTCTAAAGAGGTTTGACCGTAATTATTTTGCTCATGAATGATGATCGTATATGAGAGCATACACATAGTCATTGAAATGTGCATGACGTCATTCATTCAACCACATTGCACTCATTTGCCCATCCAGTGTAAACTATTATTTTATCAGTGCTATATTCTCCCTATATTCGACTATTGCGATACCGCTTGGTGTGGCCTTTCTGACACAACTCTGAACCAATTAGAAGTCCACCATAGATTTATACTTAAAATTCTTTACAACAAGGATCGATGTTTTCCTTCGGATGCCCTTTATCGACTTGCACACACTTCTCCTCTCTCCGTTCGTCATAAGCACCATCTCTGTACACTGGTTCATAAAATATTTCTTCATAAAACCCCTTCACACATGATGAAGTACAATTGGTTTTCGACAAGCTCAACCCGTAACGCGCTCATCCTGCCTCTTGTTAAGTCAGCCCAGTATCTAAAGTCCCCTTTGTTTTCCGGCTACTCTCATTGGTTATCATTACCATACGGTCTGAAAACTTGTTCTTCTATTGGTCAGTTTAAAGATCTACTATCACAACTGAACTAGACGCAATAATTATCATCGAAGACCATTCTCGAATACCTGGGTGATGCACGAATTTTGATAGTGCTCACTTCCGCTAATCGTTTTTCTTTGTAATTTTCCATTCATTTTCTGCTCTAATTCATATTTGCTTTGTTTTCCTAGCTTACTATTGCCGTGGCTGGCTGAACGCCCTTGTCTCAGGGGATTCTGTCCCTGCATTAGCTATGCTTGTCACATGCTATGAGATTGTGTCTAATAATAATAATAATTCCGTTATTCAAGGAAGTCTGAGCGGCGAGTGAGCGCATTGTCCAGATGTACGTTATTGCAGTACAGCAATAAAACTCTAAAGAAACATCACACCCGGTACCATTGAGCTCGAGCACTGTAGAACCGTTGAGAAATTCCACTATGCTATGTGAACCAAGCTTGCAAGAACACCGCGACGATGGTCCAGTCCGGGAAACAGGGACACCGGAGGCCTGAAGTGACTTTTTGGGATCCCGACCTTATACTTGAAAATATACATGTAGCCCTAGTGTGATACATGTGGTCTCATGGATACTCCGGCCAGAAATAGCACATCGAAAGGCTAAGACTTGCTTGGTGTATGATAGAAGGTTTAGAAGGCGGCAGCAGGGAGGGGGAGAGGTGAAGAATGTCATGTTGCAAAAACACATTGTGCAGTACTTGAAAATCAATGCAGAACGTTCAAGAATCTGCAATTCTGCATTGTAGAACTCAACACACATGAAGATGCTTTTTGTCATTTTCAAAAGAAAAAAAACAGAAAATTAATTGGTGAACAGAAAAAGTACTTTGAGTCGTGTCATAATGCATCCTATAAACCTGTATATCCAGACTGAACAATACTGCACTAGAAGAACACAGGATTACAGTTCATTTCATAACGTAAATGCAATCTGCTACATACATGTATCAAAGGCCAAATACTTGCGTGGCCTCAATTTCATCGCACAGTAAAATGATTTAACGGCACGTATACAAAAGCACACATTTGTGGTTTGTGCAAAAGCACGCATCTGTGTGCTGGGTGAAGGTAGGAATTCTGCAAACCTTGGATGCATGTAGGTCTACATCGCCAGCATCAAACACACATCCAATATTACTTATATCTTCACCAGTCACTTGGTCTGTGAAGTTGATGCACGAAATCTCGCACCTATTGCTCATATTCATTATCTTCACTAGTGTCACTAGCGGTGGATGCCATCTCTTCAGCATGTAGCCTTAGTAGGTCTACATCGCCAGCATCAAACACAGATCCAATCTTACTTATATCTTCACCAGTCACTTGGTCTGTGAGGTTGATGCACGAAAGCTCGCACCAATTGCTCACATTCATTATATCTTCAGTAGTGTGAGTAGCGGTGGATGCCATCTCTTCAGCTTTGCGCATCACCCATGGTGCAACACGCACTGCATCATAGTCTCCATCACAACTGACAGCAATCGACAGAAGCTGATCTAGCACCGTTACGTATTCAGATAGAGCATATCTGTGCTCTTCAATGGGAAGACACATCTGCCATTGAAGCTGATCGACATCATCGAGCAGTTTGGCCTCCTGCTTCTTGAGCAGCTCGATCTTCCTTGCGATTTCGTCGGTTATTTGTTTTGAAAGCTCAGCTGCTTGATCCTTGATACCGTGCTTTGTGGCTTCCAGTGCTTCCAGGTTCTTCGTGACGATTGAACGGCAGTTTCCATGGATGGATTCACTGCACTGCTTCTGCATCTTCTCTCTGCTCTCCTTGCCTGCTTGTTGTATTGAGGTGAGCGCTTCGCTGTGTTCAGTGTGGGCAGAAAACATTAAGCACAAACTGCAGGCTACATCGTCACATTGCCCGCAGTAGTGTGTGACGTGTTGGGTCAGGTGCACTGGACAGTGGCTGCTCCGTACACTGCCAGAACCTGCTGTTGCTGCTGGTGCTGAAGCGACTTCACTGCTTTCATCTCCCCTGCTCGCAAACACAACACGATGAGTTGCATACTTTCTCTTCTTGATGTGGGAAGCAGCATGGTCCTCGCACAGGTCCTGAGAACAGTCTAAGCACACGCTAGTAGCTACGGTGTCTTCTATACAACAATCACACGTGGTTTGTTCATCTTCCACCAAATCTTGCTGCCCAGAATCATTTCCGCTAGCAGCTGCAGCTCCTGCTAACGAAGGTCTGCACGTGGGTAGAGTGTGGAAGTGGCTTTTCCCCTGGCCCGGCGAGGGAGTGATAACTTGGCACAGGGGACACTCGATGCTGTTGTCTTCTGCCCGAATAAGTTGCGACACACAGCCAGCGCAAACAGAATGCAAACACAGGAGGAGTTTGTAGTGCACATTCAATACTAAGCCGCACGAGGAGCACTCTAAACTCGACGCCATGACCGTCAACACCGCTTGGTCCGGCTAGATCCTGGCTTCCTCACGGTCCGAGAAACTACTAAAAAGTCTTTACTTTAATTGCATCAGAACAAGAGCACATCTATAGCTGCAGATCTACTAGTCTATGATTATAATGGTTCAGTGAGTCTTGATGAGAGACAGAGTGATAGCGCGCGAGGGCTTGGCGACATGACCATCAACACGTCTATGCTTGCTTTTTCGATCTTTCGCTCGGAAAGCCTTCGATCGCGTGTGGCATCCCGGGTGACTAAAGAAACTGGAGCACTGTGTCTATGGTGTGAGAGGCCAGGCTCTCCAGTGGCTCACCAACTACTTACTACCTTACTGATCGCCGGCAACGCGTTCGTATCGGCGGCACTGCCACCTCACCCTGGCTTTCAATTCCTGCCGGAGTACCGCAAGGGGTTCAGTCCTCGCGCCCTTGCTATTTCTAGCCTAGACCTGCCATCAGCATGCGCAACTCCGAACTCGAGTCGAGATGCAGCCTCTTTGCTGCTGACGACATCGCTGTCGTTGCCTCACACCTGTCATCCGTCGAGTCTGAAGCTCACCTCCAGGTCGCCGTGAGTCCAGCTGGAAACTGGCTATCCAAGTGGCACTTACTTGGGAATCCAACTAAAATCGTCGTCAACGCATTTGGCACTACCCTCCGCCAAGTCACAGAACACCAACACCTCGGCATCATCATAACAATACAGCACAACATGCGATGGGATCAACATTATCGAGTACGTTCAAACTTCAAACCAAGGCCTCCAAAGAAGTAATTCACCTCCTGGCTAGGGTCCAGCGGACAATGCCGGCATTATAATGGGACTATCCGAGCATTATGAAGAATTAGAAAGGAAAAACGAGCCTTTTTTGAGATTTGAGCGGCGTTTGGACTTTCATAGTGGATAATATCGGGAAATTCCAGCTTTTTGGCAACAATCGGCTTCATTATACACTCATGTCGTGAGGTAGACCTACGTGCAACCCTCCTCGTGTTTATACCCATGTACCCACCGGTAAACCATGGTAAACCAGGTTACTGCATCGTGGATCGCTTTGTGTAGACCACCATGTAGACACGTAACACTTTTTAGCACTTGATGTAGCAATGACTACAAGTACAGCCATGTACATGTCATGTACCCAATGCAGCCTGTAAGGCTGTAGACAGCAAGCTGTTCCGGCCATAAAGCATAAAGCTGAAACAGCTAGAGGCCTCATCAGTACAGCTACGGCCGAGCTACCAGCCATGGTGCAAGCTAAGGGAGGCACCACAGACATTAAGGTGGCTCCTACCCCTCGGGTCCAAATTTTTTTGTTTGAAACGTGGCTACAAACGATTGTACTTTGTACCGTTGGATATCTAGTGTACGGAGACAAATTTTTATCAAGTTCTACCGGCCGGTTTCACTCGAGGGAGGGGCCAAACATAGCATACTCACAATTGCCAATTTAGGCCAAAAAATACCGGAAAACCACTTTTTGGCCGTAGCACCGGTAGTTACCCCTTTTTCTTGATGTCCAACATCAGGACAGTAGTATACTTGCTAAATATCAGCATAAGGTGTAGAAGTGGGTAGAATTCTGCGAGAAGGTGACCTTTTTCTCTTTTCGGAATCATCCCATTTCAGCGCACACGTCCCACATATTAGCCCCGCCCACAGGTATTTGACACTGGACTTGCCCTGTATTCGATGGTTATGCTATCATAACCTAATAATGGTACTGTGTAACAAGTGTGAGCAGGTTCTACCGAAGGTAACTCGTGAAATAAAACTTTGAAGTTTCAAGTGATGCCATATTTCAAGAATCAGCACATTGCACTGGGACATTGTCCAACGCCTTAGAACCCCTGACTCCACCATATGACAGATACGTGTCTTACAATAATTGATTGCAACATCTTCCGAACATAGTAGTAGAGCTTTGGATCAAGTTTTAGCAGTTTCCACCGAAGCTAACTACCAAAATAGTACTTTGAAGTCGCCCACATACTAAATGCCATAGCTGAGCATGTGCATTGAGTGTATGGTCTAAAGGTTTTCACAACTGGCTCCAATGCGGCAGATACGTGTCTTACATTACTTGATTGCAACATCTTCAGAACATAGTAGTAGAGCTTTGGATCAAGTTTTAGCAGTTTCCACTGAAGCTAACTACCAAAATAGAACTTTGAAGTCGCCCACATACTAAATGCCATAGCTGAGCATGTGCATTGAGTGTATGGTCTAAAGGTTTTCACAACTAGCTCCAATGCGGCAGATACGTGTCTTACATTACTTGATTGCAACATCTTCAGAACATAGTAGTAGAGCTTTGGATCAAGTTTAGACAGTTTCTACCGAAGCAAACTACCAAAATAGAACTTTGAAGTCGCCCACATACTAAATGCCATACATGTAGCTGAGCATGTGTATTGAGTGTACATGTATGCTCTAGTGTTTTTCACAACTTTCTCCAACATGAAGCCGATAGTGATGTGGAATTTGTTGACTGCTTTGTCCAAAACATAGTGCTAAAGCAATGCACATTGGGCACTTTCTACTGGTAATGTAATTATTATAATACAGTGTTTGCTGCCAACATAGCAAGACATACTTCTATACTAATTGCGTATTCCACGGGGTATGGTCCAATGGCTTTTCACTTCACATCTAGCCACTGTTCTTCGTGCATTACTTGAATGCTTAGCCGGTCTCCGTGGTAATGAAGCTAAGAACCACACTGGAGAAGTTTCTACTGAAGCTAACTATCAAAAATATAAAATTTCCAAGATGCTACTATTACATCAAGTAGCTGTGTGCAATGCCACTCTGTTGAACACAGTAAGCAAAATCGAGTCACTAAAACCCTATTTGCCAGATACAAGCTGTTGAGACTGATAGCAGCTGTATGATCTGATATGGATGGCGGTTCCACACTGACCAGCACATGTACACGCGCACAGGCAGAAGAACACACAAGTAATACACCTAACGTTACTTCGAAGTACACTGTGTACAACATGTAAATACAAGCGTATATACAAGCATAACTCCTGTTCTCCACAACTGGCAGTCCTGGGCCACTCCAGCTGGTCAGAGTGCAGCAGGCTTGACTTGGAAAGCTACTCACAACTGCCATGGCTGCAACATAAGACTTAGTATTACCAGCGCTTTTACAGTGCTACTTGTATTATATTATTGTCAATCCATTGTGGTGCGGCATGGCACTCGTTTTCAACAACCGAGTTTATGTCATTAGTTGCATATCCAACACCAGCAGAAAAAAAGAGGGGGTGGGGGCAAATTACCACAGTTCAACACTAGTCATACTGAACGGCGTTATGCCATGCCAGGCGCGCACACAAAACGCCCGCGCGAGCGCGCATGCATGTACACACCCGGGTGACACACATTGATGCGACTTTACATAGCCTGCACTGTCGTTCTATGTCATAGGAGTGAGTGCACACACATATATGTACATATAGATTGCCTAATTTTGCATACGTAATAAAATTGTATATGTATACACACATGTGCGTGCACATATAGATAAACTCAACGGCATACGCATGAGTGTGTGCCAGTAGGGCCACATGCCAATTATCGGATTAGTCTGTGAAAGTTGCACGGCACGACAAACTTTCGGACAGTCTAAAGATATGACACAATGAATGTGGAATACCCTCCAGTGTGTAAGACCATTTCATATCTATTTCGCAGCGTTTGTGATTTTCGGAGCGTCCCTGTTGATATTTGATGTCCTCACTTGGTTGATGACACAGTCACAAATTATCAAATTCACCTCCAATGCCATCCAATCTGCGTTCCGCGATACATGTACAGTGAACGGTGTTGAGGAAAGCCATGCAGCAATAAAACAGTCGAGACTCCCAAGCAGAGGATACAATTCTCGCAACAGCGTATTGAAGTACGAATTGTTCTAAACAATTTTCAAGACACAATTACAAAAATTGAAGTGCGTCTTGAAACGTGTTTGAAGTGCTTCGATGTATTTACCTTCGATCTCCCTGAATCGATCCATCCACAGCTACCTGACGAATTTGCTAGTCAGTGCGGGAGATGATCGAGCAAGTTATAATTATTTGAAGGTCGCGAGATGTCAGTGGCACTGGCAGGAAATCTACACAAGCGTGTTCTGAAATAATTTTCTAATACTCAGGCATGATTCAAGAGCGGACTTTGATTTCTCCCTTCTTATGGTACGAGCACCAGTCGACATTGCATTCTTGGAAAACCTTCTTCTGCGAGTGCTGCCTTCCCCTTTCAGAGAAAGAACGAGTGAAGAGGGACACTAGCAGCAGGTTCTAGCTAGGTCGCCAGAATTGCAGAAAAGCGAGAAGACGTTTCCTACAACGATTGATCGCACAAAAATCATCGCTACCGAAAAATTTACTGAAAATCTACACTTTTCAAACGATGCGCGCGCAGAGGGTGTGAGCCACCTTAAAAGATAGCTCGTCGCTCTAGGCTAGCGCCAGAGTGCTCAAACTACAAAAGTAGCGGGCACTGCGTGATGCAGCAGCACTACAACAAGCGGTCACCTGACCTGGTCACCGTGCCTGCAGGGTACAACTTACTAGCCTGTTTGACCTTTTTTGGGTGCACTCCTGTCACTCGAGTTGAACCTTGGTGTGAAATTTGTCGCCTGCTGGCGTGGTGACCAGGTGATTTGGGCACCCAGGAGCACGTGACCGCATGTTCAACCATGTTCGATTGGGAATAAAGGAGGAACGCTGCATCGCAGCCTTTTCGGACCAAAACCAGTCGACTCAGCGGCCAAAAGACTACAACATATGGGCCAATCGCGGTCATCCGTGCTTTTATAAGAACGAAATGGCGCTTTTAGTGAGATTTTGCATACAAATCCCCATCTAGTAGGGCGCAGTCACCCAGTTTCGGTGGAAGTGCGCGAGTTCGATTGGGATTCAAGTAGGAAGGGAGCGTCTCAGCTTTCTCGGACCAAGACCATTCGACTCAGCACCCGGAAGACTACAACTGGTGAAATTTTAATTTTTGCCTTAAGGTGGCTCACACCCTCTGCGCGCGCATCGTTTGAAAAGTGTAGATTTTCAGTAAAATTTTCGGTAGCGATGATTTTTGTGCAATCAATCGTTGTAGGAAACGTCTTCTCGATTTTCTGCAATTCTGGCGACCTAGCTAGAACCTGCTGCTAGTGTCCCTCTTCACTCGTTCTTTCTATGAAAGGGGAAGGCAGCACTCGCAGAAGATTTTCCAAGAATGCAATATCGACTGGTGCTCGTACTATAAGAAGGGAGAAATCAAAGTCCGCTCTTGAATCACGCCTGAGTCTTGGAAAATTATTTCAGAATACGCTTGTGTAGATTTCCTGCCAGTGCCACTGACATCTCGCGACCTTCAAATATAACTTGCTCGATCATCTCCCGCACTGACTGGTAAATTCGTCGGGTAGCTGTGGATGGATCGATTCAGGGAGATCGAAGGTAAATACATCGAAGCACTTCAAACACGTTTCAAGACGCACTTCAAATTTTGTAATTGTGTCTTGAAAATTGTTTACAACAATTCGTACTTCAATACACTGTTGAATTGTATCCTCTGCTTGGGAGTCTCGACTGTTTTATTGCTGCATGGCTTTCCTCAACACCGTTCACTGTACATGTATCGCGGAACGCAGATTGGATGGCATTGGAGGTGAATTTGATAATTTGTGACTGTGTCATCAACCAAGTGAGGACATCAAATATCAACAGGGACGCTCCGAAAATCACAAACGCTGCGAAATAGGTATGAAATGGTCTTACACACTGGTGGGTATTCCACATTCATTGTGTCATATCTTTAGACTGTCCGAAAGTTTGTCGTGCCGTGCAACTTTCACAGACTAATCCGATAATTGGCATGTGGCCCGATCGGCACACACTCATGCGTATGCCGCTGAGTCTATCTCTATGTGCACGCACATGTGTGTATACTCACACAATTTTATTACGTATGCAAAATTAGGCAATCTACATGTACATATATATATGTGTGTGCACTCACTCCTATGACATAGAACGACAATGCAGGCTATGTAAAGTCGCACGAATGTGTGTTACCCGGGTGTGTACATGCATGCGCACTCGCGCGGCCGTTTTGTGTGCGCGCCTGGCATGGCATAACGCCGTTCAATATGACTAGTGTTGAACCGTGGTAATTTGCCCCACCCCTTCTTTTTTCTATTGGCGTTGGATATGCAACTAATGACATAAACTTGGTTGTTGAAAACGAGTGCCATGCACCACAATGGATTCACAATAATATAATACAAGTAGCGCTGTAAAAGCGCTGGTAATACTCATGTTGCAGCCATGGCAGTTGTGATTAGCTTTCCAAGTCAAGCCTGCTGCAGAAATTATTGCACTCTGACCAGCTGGAGTGGCCCAGGACTGCAGGTTGTGGAGAACAGGAGTGATGCTTGTATATACGCTTGTATTTACATGATGGACTTCGAAGTAACGTTAGGTGTATTACTTGTATGTTCTTCTGCCTGTGCACGTGTACATGTGCTGGTCAGTGTGGAACCGCCATCCATATCAGATCATACAGCTTAGCTGCTATCAGTCTCAACAGCTTATATCTGGCAAATAGGGTTTTAGTGACTCAATTTTGCTTCCTGTGTTCAACAGAGTGGCATTGCACACAGCTACTTTATGTAATAGTAGCATCTTGGAAATTTTATATTTTTGATAGTTAGCTTCAGTAGAAACTTCTCCAGTGTGGCTCTTAGCTTCATTACCACGGAGACTAAGCATTCAAGAAATGCACGAAGAACAGTGGCTAGATGCGAAGTGAAAAGCCATTGGACCGTACCCAATGGAATACGCATTTAGTATAGCAGTATTGCTTGCTATGTTGGCAGCAAACACTGTATAAAAATAATTGCATTACCAGTAGAAAGTGCCCAATGTGCATTGCCTCAGCACTGTGTTTTGGACAAAGCAGTCAAACAATTCCACATCAGTATTGGCTTCATGTTGGAGAAAGTTGTGAAAAACACTAGAGCATACATGTACACTCAATACACATGCTCAGCTACATGTATGGCATTTAGTATGTGGGCGACTTCAAAGTTCTATTTTGGTAGTTAGCTTCGGTAGAAACTGTCTAAACTTGATCCAAAGCTCTACTACTATGTTCTGAAGATGTTGCAATCAAGTAATGTAAGACACGTATCTGCCGCATTGGAGCTAGTTGTGAAAACCTTTAGACCATACACACAATGCACATGCTCAGCTATGGCATTTAGTATGTGGGCGACTTCAAAGTTTTATTTCGGCAGTTAGCTTCGGTGGAAACTGCTAAAACTTGATCCAAAGCTCTACTACTATGTTCTGAAGATGTTGCAATCAAGTAATGTAAGACACGTATCTGCCGAATTGGAGCTAGTTGTGAAAACCTTTAGACCATACACACAATGCACATGCTCAGCTATTGCATTTAGTATGTGGGCGACTTCAAAGTTCTATTTCGGTAGTTAGCTTCGGTGGAAACTGCTAAAACTTGATCCAAAGCTCTACTACTATGTTCTGAAGATGTTGCAATCAAGTTATGTAAGACACGTATCTGCCGCATTGGAGCTAGTTGTGAAAACCTTTAGACCATACACACAATGCACATGCTCAGCTATGGCATTTAGTATGTGGGCGACTTCAAAGTTCTATTTCGGTAGTTAGCTTCGGTGGAAACTGCTAAAACTTTATCCAAAGCTCTACTACTATGTTCTGAAGATGTTACAATCAATTATTGCAAGATACGTATCTGTCATATGGTGGAGTCAGGGGTTCTAAGGCGTTGGACAATGTCCCAGTGCAATGTGCTGATTCTTGAAAGTATGGCATCACTTGACACTTCAACGTTTTATTTCAAGAGTTACCTTCGGTAGAACCTGCTCAGACTTGCTACACAGTGCCATTATTAGGTTATGATAGCATAACCATCGAATACAGGGCAAGTCCAGTGTCAAATACTTGTGGGCGGGGCTAATATGTGGGACGTGTGCGCTGAAATGGGATGATTCCGAAAAGAGAAAAAGGTCACCTTCTAGCAGAATTCTACCCACTTCTAAAGCTTATGCTGGTATTTAGCAAGTATACTACTGTCCTGATGTTGGACATCAAGAAAAATGGGGTAACTACGAGTGCTACGGCCAAAAAAGTGATTTTCCGGTGTTTTTTGGCCTAAATTGGCAATTGTGAGTATGCTATGTTTGGCCCCTCCCCCGAGTGAAACCGGCCGGTAGAACTTGATAAAATGTTGTCTCCGTACACTAGATATCCTGCGGAACAAAGTACAATCGTTTGTAGCCACGTTTCAAACAAAACAAAATTGGACCCGAGGGGTAGGAGCCACCTTAACTCCCCCTTTAACAAGGTAGCCATCAACTCTTGAACTATCAGTATCATCAAAATTATTTTCAACTGATGTTACCTCATAGTCTCATATAATCACCATTATTAATTGCATCTCTCTTATTGGCCAACGGCCACCATGAGAAATAATGATAACAATAAGGTTGAGAAGGCGGCAGCGGGGGGTTAGAGGTGAAGAATGTCATGTTGCTAAAACACAATGTGCAGTACTTAAAAATCAATGCAGAAAGCTCAAGAATCTGCAATTCTGCATTGTAGAACTCAACACACATGTAGATGCTTTTTGTCATTTTCAAAAGAAGAAAAAACAGAAAATTAATTGGTGAACAGAAAAAAGTACTTTGAGTCGTGTCATAATGCGTCCTATAAACTTGTATATCCAGACTGAACAATACTGCACTAGAAGAACACAGGATTACAGTTCATTTCAGAACGGTAAATGCAATCTGCTACATACATGTATCACAGGCAAAATACTTGCGTGCCTTCAAAACACAGTAAAATAATTCAGCACGTATTTAAAAGCACACATTTGTGGTTTGTGTAAAAGCATGCATATGTGTGCTGGGTGAAGGTGGGAACCCGCAATGTTGACATTACGTTCCGTACGTGAAGTTGAGGAATCTGACCTTCACATCTTCACCACACGTAGCATTAGGCTGACACAATCAGAAAGAGTCCGCTTAGTCTATACTCGCATTCAAGCTGGGAGTAGAGTGAATGATGTGTTGGCATAGTACAGGCCAGCTTGGATTCTGACCTTCTCCGGTATGCCCGTCCATCGAAGTTCCCACGATTCTCCAGCTTGTTTGCACTGAATTGTGAAGACGCGCGCATCGCAATCGATTATCATGGTGAATTCCACTTCGTTCTTCCACGATGGTCCAGTCCGAAATAGCCCTAGTGTGATACACTGATGTAGTCTCATTGATACTCGGGGGACGCAAATTAACACTCCAGAAATAGCACATCGAAAGGCTAAGACTTGCTCAGTGTATGATAGAAGGTTGAGAAGGCGACAGCAGGGGGGGGGGGTAGAGGTGAAGAACGTCATGTTGCAAAAACACAATGTGCAGTACTTAAAAATCAATGCAGAAAGCTCAAGAATCTGCAATTCTGCATTGTAGAACTCAACACACATGTACAGTTGATGCTTTCTGTCATTTTCAAAAGAAAAAAAAATAGAAAACTTAATTGGTGAATAGAACAAAAGTACTTTAAGCCGTGTCGTAATGCGTCCTATAAACCTGTATATCCAGACTGAACAATACTGCACTAGAAGAACACAGGATTACAGTTCATTTCATAACGTAAATGCAATCTGCTACATACATGTATCACAGCATGGCTTCAAAACACAGTAAAATAATTTAACAGCACGTATTTAAAAGCACACAGTTGTGGTTTGTGTAAAAGCACGCATATGTGTGCTGGGTGAAGGTGGGAACCCGCAATGTTGACATTACGTTCCTTGCGTGAAGTTGAGGAATCTGACCTTCAGATCTTCACTACACGTAGCAATATGTTGACACAATCAGAAAGAGTCCGCTCAGTCTATACTCGCATTCAAGCTGGGAGTAGAGTGAATGATGTATTGGCATAGTACAGGCCAGCTTGGATTCTCACCTTGTCCGGTATTCCCGTCCATCGATGTTGCCACGATTCTCCAGCTTGTTTGCACTGCATTGTGAACACACGCGCATCGCAATCAATTACCATGTTGAATTCCACTTCGTTTTTCCAATTCCTGGCCTTGGCATTGGCCGCAGAGCCGTAGAGATTTCCATTGGAGCCTACTCCATGGAGACTTTTAACCTTCCCCACCAGTTGATCAGTGTCACTGTTTGCAATGATGCCACATAGCGGAAACACACCCGTGTGGAACCCTGCTCGTTCACTCTTAAACGCGAGTCGTGCCTGGAAAACTCCTGACTGCAGCAGGGTAGAGTATGCGCTCCTTTGCGTTTTGGTTTCCTTTGGACATGTGAGCACCGTGTGGTTGGCAGTGAGCTGTAGACTGGGTTCGCATTTCTGTTGATCGAATCGAATGGCAGGATGAACTGATAGAGGTTTTCTCTGATCTAGACCGAACTCATCAAACTTTGCGCTGACAGAGTACACTCCTGGTGTTTCCACTTGGCACTGCCACACACCTGGACCAGTTGGCTCAGCTGATATGGCTGCTGAGGCAGGTACAGATTGACCACAGGCAGAGATAGGCGCAGCAGCGGCATCTAGGTCCTCCGGCCCAGCAAGGTCGATGGATACCCTCTGGTAGAGTGACGATGAATCTGCAGCAATGTCTCCCTTGCTCCTGTCGACAAGTATCACTGATACTGGGAATTGTAGCCCAGCACTAACAGCTTCTGGACTGTAAACCTTGGATGCATGTAGGTCTACTCCACCAGCATCAAACACAGATCCAATCTTACTTATTTCCTCATCAGTCACGTGGTCTGTGAGGTTGATGCACATAAGCTCACACCTATTACTCGCATTCGTGACAACTTCAGTAGCAGTCGATTCGATTTCTGCAGTCTTGCGCATCACCCATGGTGCAACACGGACTGCATCGTAATCTCCATCACAACTGACAGCAATCAACTGAAGCCGATCTAGTATCATCAAGTATTCAGACAGAGCAGATCTGTGCTTTTCGATGGGAAGACACTTCTGCCATTGGAGTCGATCGACATCCTCGAGCAGGTTGGCCTCCTGTTGCTTGAGCAGCTCGATTTTCCTTGCGATTTCGTCAGTTATTTGTTTTGAAAGTTCAGCTGCTTGATCTTTGATGCCATTTGCTGTGGCTTCCAGTGCTTCCAGGTTCTTTGTGACGATTGCACGGCAGTTTCCATGGATGGATTCACTGCACTGCTTCTGCATCTTCTCTCTGCTCTCCTTGCCTGCTTGTTGCATTGAGGTGAGCACTTCGCTGTGTTCAGTGTGTGCAGACAACTTCAAGCACAAACTGCAGGCTACATCGTCACATTGCCGGCAGTAGTGTGTGACGTGTTGGGTCAGGTGCACTGGACAGTGGCTGCTCCGTACACCAGGTACACTGCCAGAACCTGCTGTAGCTGCTGGTGCTGAAACGACTTCACCGCTTTCATCTCTCCTGCTCGCAAGCACAACACGATGAGTTGCATACTTTCTCTTCTTGATGTGGGAAGCAGCATGGTCCTCACACAGGTCTTGCGAACAGTCTAAGCACACGCTACTAGCTACGGTGTCTTCTGTACAACAATCACACGTGGTTTGCTCACCTTCCACCAAATCTTGCTGCCCAGAATCATTTCGGCCGGCAGCAGCAGCAGCAGCTCCTGCTATCGAAGGTCTGCACGTGGGTAGAGTGTGGAGGTGGCTTCTTCCCGGCCCCGGTGAGGGAGTGATAACTTGGCACTGGACATCGGGGCACTTGATGCTGTTGTCTCCTGGCCGAATAAGTTGCGACACACAGCCAGCGCAAACAGAATGCAAACACAGGAGGAGTTTGTAGCGCTCATTCAATACTGAGTGACACGAGGAGCACTCTGAACTCGACGCCATGAGTGCCAACACTGCAACAGCTTGGTCCAAGACTTTAGTGCATCAGAATTCAGAGCAAGAGACGAGTAGATGATCTACTCGTACTACTAACTACTTATTTTTAAAGGGGAAGTATACCCTAAAATCAAATTTTCACCAGTTGTAGTCTTCGGGGTGCTGAGTCGAATGGTCTTGGTCCGAGGAAGCTGAGACGCTCCCTTCCTACTTGAATCCCAATCGAACTCGCGCACTTCCACCGAAACTGGGTGACTGCGCCCTACTAGATGGGGATTTGTATGCAAAATGTCACTAAAAGCGCCATTTCGTTCTTATAAAAGCACGGATGACCGCGATTGGCCCATATGTTGTAGTCTTTTGGACGCTGAGTCGACTGGTTTTGGTCCGAAAAGGCTGCGATGCAGCGTTCCTCCTTTATTCCCAATCGAACATGGTTGAAGAAGCGGTCACGTGCTCCTGCGTACACCAGTCACCTGGTCACCGTGCCTGCAGGGTACAACTTACTAGCGTGTTTGACCTTTTTTGGGTGCAGTCCTGTCACTCGAGTTGAACTCGAGTTGAACCTTGGTGTGAAAGTTGTCGCCTGCTGGCGCGGTGACCAGGTGATTTGGGCACCCAGGAGCACGTGACCACTTGTTCAACCATGTTCGATTGGGAATAAAGGAGGAACGCCGCATCGCAGCCTTTTCGGACCAAAACCAGTCGACTCAGCATCCAAAAGACTACAACATATGGGCCAATCGCGGTCATCCGTGAGTAGTAAGTGCGGGGCAGGTTCTGGCACACTTTTTGACCTTTGACCTTTGGGCCAAATAAGGCACAGTGTGTCGGTCGTGCTGGGTCTGGCCCCGGGACCCCCAGAGTTTGACCTTTGACCCCTGGCATGCCATAAATGTCATCCTTAAGGTTCTTTTCGCCATAGGTGGCGAACGTGACTTGTGCACGCTCGGTGCATTCGCACCGGGGAGTAGTAAAATACGTACTATTCCCTGATTTGCACATCGTAGATGTGCATTGCATGCAGTGAATGACATATTGCGCATGCGTGCATACGCACGCGGAGCGTGTGACCTTCAGAGGTCCTATGCGTGTGGAAAAGACGCAGTGCAACACGAGGTGTACTAGTACACGTGTCATTATACTACTCCATGATTCGCACTTCGTAGATGTGCAGCAAACAAGTTCACGTTCCGTGCATTCGTTTTATTTGCACATCGTAGATGTGCACTGATTGACAAGTTGCCCATACAGAGCATACCTAATCGGCTTTTCGATCGAGAATGTTCAAATTCGGCCATATTATGAGCTCCAAGATCAGAATTCGGCTCAACATAGTACTTGAAGTCACCGCTCCCATTACGTCAAGTACATTTACATACACCCTGTTGAAGCACTGAAGCATCGGTTTTCGGGGAATTCAACATGCGAATTTTTGAAAATTCGGCGAAAAGATGGGTAATTTCTTCAAAACCACTGTTTTCCGGCGAATTTTTCGCCCGGCCGATTAGGGAAATGCCTACTGTCCATGCAGGTCCATTAGATGCAAATTTCTATTTTGATCAGGATACAGTTAGAATCAACCGGCTACGCCCGGAGTATCATGCATTAAAACAATTATTGAAGGGGTGTCACAGTGAAGCAGTGTTGCTACGCACCACAAATCCCCTCTGCACTGCATCGAATCTATACTGGAGAATCCAGAGTGACCAGCAAAGAGTCACAACCCGCGGGTATCCAGTCACACTAAGGCATATCCACCATTCCCCACATATTCACTGTAACAAACACAATACTGTTTACTATAATGCACTTTTATTTAAATGGACTTGGATGAGTCTGTAGAAGAGAACACAATGCACGCACACGCACGCATGCGCGGGCACACACACACACACACACACACACACACACACACATCTAGGTTATAGTGCTATACACGTATCTAGGGTTTAGGAAGCACGAGAATATGTCGAAGCACCCACGCATACCCCTTCATGCAGTGTACTTCAGTAGCCCAACACATTACGGCTGCTCAGGACCATCACAAAACACATTACGACCGCTCAGGACCATCACAAAACACTACACACTGTTACTACACTGCATACACAGTTACTACACTACGCCTGTTACAAGTACTTACAAATAATTTTGAAAACAAATGGCACATCCCGAAGACGGCAGCTAGCTCCAGACCTTCATACATACATCATCATCATCTGTAAAACCAAGCATGAGCGCACACAAACACTATTAGTATCACGAATACGGAAGCAGGGTAAGACAAGAGGATACGAAACAAGTAAGTATCGCTATAACGAGGGGGATAAGTATACATGTAGACAGAGCAGTGCTTACTTACAGGGTCCGGATACGCTCCATGGCGTCCCGGTAGTCGGACTGCAACAGCAGCCCGACTTGCCGGCCCTCCCAGTAACGGGCTCGATGGGCCGCACCCGCCAGGTGTGCGGCCACGGCCTGGCCTCCCACCAGCCTTTCTCCACTGTAAAAACGAAAGAAACCGCAGAAAGCACAGTGTCATAGAGCTCTTTTGTTGGGGGAGAGAGCTAGGAGCACTGCACACTTACCATTTGTCACAATATATTATAAGAAAGAGGCGGCGCTTGACGCACCGCCTCAGGTGCTGAAACAAGGGTATAACTCCTGTCAGTTCCACACCGCAGTGGCAAGTGAACGCCATACTGTAAATGTAATGATACTGAAGTGAAGGTGTGAACCGCAAAGCAAGGCCTTTACCTTCTTCCTGTCGAATTCGCTCCCCAGCTGCATACCGACATCACCCGCTAAAATCCAATCATACCAAGTAATGCAAAGGTCATCAGTTGACCTTTTGGACTTTTCAACTCCTATCCAAAACCACCAAGAGGAAAAAAACCAGGATAATAATAATAATCTTTATTTCAGGATTACCCAAAGGCTAACGCCTATCTGGGGATGAAGAAGACGTCAGTTGTAGAAGCGTTTGTGGAGGAGTTGTTACATTATTCTCAGTAAATAGATATGGCTGATACATTCGGTGTAGACGTGGACGACCGGTCGTGGTCTCTCACCACGGGTCCTTTACTAATAGAAAGGCGGACGCCAATAAGAACTGTTGTGGAGTTGGCAGATCAAAACGCGCAGCAAGAAATTTGGCACGTCGATGGTAGACTCCATCGGGAGGACGGACCAGCTCTTGTTGATAGTAGGGGAGAGTCCGCCTGGTGCTATGGAGGTCGCCTTCATCGCGTTAATGAACCTGCTTGGATAGGACGGGGTAGCATCGAGTACTACCTCAACGGCGTCTAGAGCCGGCGGTCCTGCAGTTATTGTGACGCCACATGCTGTATTCTACGGTGGTTACACCACGGAAGGCTCCACAGGGAGAATGCGCCAGCGGTGATACGCAGGGAAGGTAACAATCGTGTACGGGAGTGGTACCGATACAACCTTCGGCATAGGGAAGATGGACCTGCTTTCATCTCTCAGGAGGAGGAGGGTGTCTATCAGTGGTACCTCAACGGGGTGTATTACGATGACCACCATCAAGACCAGGCAATACACCCCATGGAGCTGCAGTACATCAATGTAGTGCCTACTAAGGTAGACTCGTCAGCAATAAGTCATGAGTCCATTTGTGTGATTTGTCAGGATACCCTGGACCGTCCTCTATCCAAGTTGGAGTGCGGTCATGAATTTCACTTCCACTGCATCAAGGAGTGGATCAGTTCTGCCCCCAGCCCTACTTGCCTAACCTGCCGCTACTCCATGACTGCTGAGGACTTGGTTGAGTTCTTGTAGTAATACATGACACAGCTGCATGTAGGCGACTACGAATGACCAGTCATGTGCTACAGACGGACACGGACACGCCACCCTAAGTAGCCATGAGCGGCTCTTTGGACAAGGGCAACAAAGCACCCCGTGGGCGGCCAAGGTTGACACTAGCCACAAGTCTGCTCGCTCAGTTGAATAAGCTGGGTGTGCCCATGAAGACCATGGAAGACCTTTCCAGGTGCCGGCAACAAGCAGAGGACAAGACAGACTGGAAGAAACTGTGCAGCTCGACACTCGAGGACAAATCAGTATCAGCAGCTACTACACCTTGCTGATGATGCTCACAAGACAGAAGTGGGAAAAACACTGAATTTCTTTATTTAGTGCTCAACTACGCGAAATGTGTTATTATTATTATACATGTTCAACTGTACTCAGTCTGGCTGACTGCCATTCTCTACCACACATTACCGGACACTGTTGTGGTTGTCGTCGTTATCGTCGTCGTCATTGTTGATGTTGTTGTCGTCGTTATCGTCGTTGTTGTTGATTTTGTTGGTGGCTGTTGCTGTCGGTTGTTGTCGGTTGTTGTCGTTTGCTGTTGGTTGTTGTTGGTTGTTGTTGATGTTGTTGTCGGTTGGTGTCGTCGTTATCGTCGTCGTTGTTGATGTTGTTATTAGTTGTTGCTGTCGGTTGTTGGTTGTTATTGGTTGTTGCTGTCGGTTGTTGGTTGTTATTGTTGATTGCTGTGGGTTGTTGTTGGCTGTTGGATGTTGTTGTCGGCTGTTGTCGGTTGTTGTTGGTTATTGTTGGTTGTTGTTGGTTGTTGTTGGGCGTTGTTGGTTGTTGTCGGTTGTTGTCAGGTGTTGTTGGTTGTTGTTGGTTGTTGTTGTCGGTTGTTGTCGGTTGTTGGGTGTTGTTGTCGGTTGTTGGGTGTTGTTGTCGGTTGTTGGGTGTTGTTGTTGGTTGGTGTTGGTTGGTGTTGGTTGTTGTTGGTTGTTGTCGGTTGTTGTCCGTTGTTGTTGGTTGTTGTTGGTTGTTGTTGGCTGTTGTTGGTTGTTGTTTTTGTATGTTTGTTGTTGTCGGTTGTTGGTTGTTGTTGTGTGTTGTT